CGAGACCTCATCTCTACAATAAAATCAAAAAATTAGCCGGGGGTGGTAGCGTGCGCCTGTAGTTCCAGCTACTTGGAAGGCTGAGGCGGAAGGATCGCCGGAGCCCAGCAGGTTGAGGCTGCGGTGGCCGGGAGCGGCCACTGCACTCCAGTCTGGGCAACAGAGTGAGACTCCAACTCAAAAAAAAAGGGATTCAGAAAGAATTCAGTAATAACTAATGTTTAAGAGACTATAGTATAATGTAGAGAACACTAGCTGGGAGTTTGGAGACCCAGCTTCAAGTTCTGTTGAGGCCACTGACTTCTCTGAGATGGGAAGGTAAGCCCCTTCCCATCTCAGAACCTCAGCTCATATGTAAATAAGGTGGAGAGCATCTCCAGACTTTCTCCTAGCTGAGTGAAACTGTTTTTCTGAGATCCCAGGTAGCAAAGATCTAATACATTTAGTAATATTGCTTAGCATCCTGTCAAATACATAATAAATATATCTTAGTGCCTTTTGAATAAGTAGAAGCAGTGATTTTTTTTTTTTTTTAATGTGTCCTCTAGATATGGCAAACCCGGCTGTAATGCAGAGACCTGTGACTACTTCCTCAGCTACCGGATGATAGGAGCTGATGTGGAATTTGAGCTGAGTGCAGACACAGATGGTTGGGTAGCAGTTGGATTCTCTTCAGACAAGAAAATGGTAAGACACAAATCACGATAGAAGCTCATTTCTCTTTAGTTGGCTGAGCTACTTTAGATTTTGGAAGCAAGTAAATTGATCAAAGCAGTAAATTGAACAAAGTAGCATAATTATATTAGTTATGGCTCTCTCATCACAAGTTTAAAAAAAATTCAAGCTAAATGGAAGGGTTGGTTATCAGAATACAAGGTGTCTTGTTGCACTCATATTCGCCAGCTATTTCTACAGTGCTTCCAAAACTGTAGAGGGTTTACTGGGGTTCAGCTGATTTCAGGTGGGGCTCACCTGAACTTGGCTCCAGTCTATGGGTTGGATTCAGGTTTTCTCTGTGTTTTTACTAGTCATTTCTGGAACAAGCAGCTACCAAGGCATGATCTTTTCATGGCCCAGGCAGAAGTGTAAGAACCACTGTAAGGGGAAAAACAAACTGTTTTTTCTCTTTGCTCACACGCTCGACACAGAACATTCTGTAACCAGATGTGTGAGAGTTTCCCCCACATCCCAAGCAACTTTCCAACAGACACCAGCTGGATGTCCTCTAATTCAATTCATCTCTGATATTCTTTACTTGGAGATAGTGTTAGATCCCACGAGTTAAGGGCTCAGTACCACCAGACTGCCCCCATTTCAGACTCCATCTGCAAGCCCCAGGTTGTGACCTGTGCTTCTGACCAACTAGCTTTAAATCAGGGTTCTCCTGGTTCCCTCTGGGGTTCATTTAATTTGCTGGAGTGGCTCACAGAACTCAGAGAAACACTTTCCTTACATTTACCCATTTATTATAAAACTATCACAAAAAATACAGAGAACAGTTGGATGAAAGAGATGCTTAGGGAAAGGTTTAGGGGGAGGACTGAGACGCTCCTTGCCCTGTCAGGGTGTCCTCCCCGTCCGGCACCTTTATGAGTTCAGTAGTCCTGAAGCCATAGACCGGAGCCATGTCCTTCTGGGTTTTAATGGAGGCTTCATTATGTAGTCATGATAGGTTAAATCAGGGGAGTGAAGAATTCTTTCATACAGTTCAGTCTTCCTCAGTACCTAGGGGCAAGAAAACCTCTGGACCTCAGACAGTGGCCAGGAACAAGCAGGGCATCAGGAGCGCAGGCAACTATCATCTCTGACCTCTGCTTTTTTCCTCTGTGCCTCTGCTGCATTCTTCCTTCTTTCCTCTGGAGCCCTAACACATGTCATTTCACTGTGCCAGGCTTTTTCCCAAACTGTGGAATTCTTAGGCCTTTGCACATGCTGCTGCTCTTGTCTAAAGAGCCCTTCTCTTCACCTGGCCTATTTTGAGGCTGTGCAACCGTGCAGGTAAGAGAGGAAAGTGACTAGACAAGGGTTACAGCAGTGGTAACGGTGAGAAGGGCTCAAATTTTGTATGTTTTGAAAGTAGCACTGACAGGATTCGCAAGTGGATTGAATATGAGTTGTAGGTGGGTGGTAGAAAAAGACTGAGGTATAGCCTAAGCAGTGGCTGCTCTGGTGGCTTTGATCTTGAAGAGGTCACCAGGAGAATGAGCCTTCATCAAGTCCCAGTCCAGTCAGTAAGACAGTGGGTATAACTAGTAAGACCATATAGGTGTGAGTCGACCTTACTCATCTCCTGTGCTGTCATGTCAGCAGGAGAAACAGCAGATGATGTCACACTCAGAAGCTGGCTTACATTGAAGGTGACCACTGCCTGTCCTGGAATGCATTTGCACTCATGGTGGGGCTTGCTAGGATTAGGTGACTCAGATGAGTGAGGCAGATTAAGGAGCATTCAAATTCTGTTTGGTATTCTGCTATCTAAAAGCCTTCAAAATATTTATTGTGATATGATTTGTGAAAGTAGGGTTCTCTTTTCTTTTTTCCAAGAAAAAGCACAGATGTGATTTTATTTTTCAAAACCTGACTCATAGGAAAAGCAAAATGGAACCCCTTTTTATAGTGCATTATTGTTTCTTTTAAATATGATTTTACATTTTAGAGCAATTTTAGGTTCACAGTAAAATGGAGCAAAAGGTACAGAGATTTCCCATATTCCTCTGGTAGCCTCCCCCATTATCAACATCCTGCACAGAGGGGCACACCTGTTACAATTGAGGAGTTTTAAACTCTTTTTTTTTTTTTTTTTTTTGAGTTAGAATCTCACTCGGTCGCCCAGACTGGAGTGCAGTGGCATGCTCCTGGCTACCGCAGCCTCGACCCGCTGGGTGCCGGCGAGCCTTCCGCCTCAGCCTTCCAAGTAGCTGGAACAACAGGTGCGCGCTACCATGCCCGGCTAATTTTTGATTTATTTTAGAGATGAGGTCTCACCAAGTAGCCCGTGTGGGTCTCGAACTCGCGGGCACAGGCAATCCACTCACCTCGGCCTCCCAGAGCACTGGGATTACAGGCTGAGTTACCAAGCAGGCCTTAAACTTTTTAATTTGTGGTTTTGAAAAAAATAAAGCAAACCTACAAATAAGCTGCAAGAATAGTACAATAAACTCATATACATATGCAATTCACCAAGTGATTACTTTTTTGTTGTGGTAAAATGCACATAACAGGCGAGGCTCCGTGGCTCAGCCTGTAATCCCAGCACTTTGGGAGGCCTAGGCGAGTGAATTGCCTGAGCCTGTGGGTTTGAGACCCACCTTGGCAAGACCTCATCTCTACAATAAATCAAAAATTAGCCAGGTGTGGTAATGCGCGCCTGTAGTTCCAGCTACTTGGAAAGCTGAGGCGGAAGGATCGCCGGAGCCCAGCAGGTGGAGGCTGTGGTCGCCGGGAGCGGCCACTGCACTCCAGTCTGGGTGACAGAGTGAGACTCCAACTCAAAAAAAAAAAAAAAGCACATAACATAAAATTTACTATTTTAAAGTGTACAGTTTGGTTGTATCAGTGGAGTTGTTCACCTTCCCTAGTCCCGGAACTTTTTCACAAATGATAGCATTTTGAACCACCTACTTTATGCTCAACCACTGCTATTGCTGGTATTAATAATAATGTTTCAAGTGATTATTTTCTAGAAACCTTGGCACTTATAGCACAGATATCATGACTATTAAATGCCAAATGCTTAAGCAGGTATCTTCTAAAATCAAAGATATTCTCTTTTATTATATAGGGTATTAGTTAAATTCAGGAAGTTTAATGTTGATATGATAAAATTATTAAATATACTGTGTTTTTAAATGTGGCCAGTTGTCCCAGCATTGTCCTGTAGAGAAATTTTTAGTTTATGACTCAAGATTCTAGCTAGGAAGGCCTAGAATTGCATGTATCTTTAGCTTTTTTTTTTTTTTTTGGTTTTCCATGACATTGACTTTTTTGAAGATTATAGGCTACCTTTTTTTGTAGAATGACCCTCAGTTTGTATTTGTCTGATTGTTTTCTCATGGTTAGCATAGTTTGTGTGTTTGTGTTTTGGGCAGAAATGCCACTGAGGTGATGATGTCTTCTCCAAACATCATGTCTGGGAGCACTTGATATCAGTTATTGTTATGCTAACTTTAGTCACTTAGTTAAAGCTTTTAAATGTTTTAAATAATTTTTTTTTGGTGGGATTTCAAATCACAAAGGTGATGGAATGTTATTTCTGGTGACAAGTTTGTGAAAGACGAACCTTTGACTTTCTTCTTCTTAATTGTTTTTCACATTAGGGTGGTGACGATGTCATGGCCTGCGTTCATGATGACAATGGCAGGGTCCGCATACAGCACTTCTATAACGTAGGCCAGTGGGCAAAGGAGATTCAGAGAAATCCAGCCAGAGATGAAGAAGGGGTTTTTGAGAATAATCGTGTTACCTGCAGATTTAAACGCCCTGTGAATGTTCCCAGAGATGAAACAATTGTTGATCTGCATTTGAGTTGGTATTATCTGTTTGCTTGGGGTCCAGCCATTCAGGGTAAGGTTACATTTTAGCATCTGAATTAAACACCAGACACCACTGTGCTTGTGTTCATGATTAATTGAAGTCACACTGTGTGTACAAAGAGAGCAATAAGCACTATGGATAATATTCAAGAAAAAGTAGATGTGACTCCTACCTTCAGAAGGTTATGACAGACTTATCATGCACATAGACAAACAAATGACCAAGTTATACACGTGCAAAACTAGAACAGTCCAAGATAGTAGATCATGAGTTATGTGCTTAATGAAACAAATTGTATATCTACTGTACATGGGGTCATGGGCTCTGCTGAATTCTCACATCATTCTCATTTATTCCTCATAGCATCCTTGAGAGGCATGGATATTATAATCCTCATTTTAGAGAGATTAAGAAACATGCTGAAGGCTGTACAGCTAATTAATGGAAGAACTAAAATTCAATCCTAGGTTTGCTTTTGGGTTGTTTTTTTTTTTTTGAGTCAGAGTCTCACTCTGTCGCCCAGGCTGGAGTACAGTGGCATGCTCAAGGCCACCACAGCCTAGACCTGCTGGGCTCAGGGGATCCTTCCACTTCAGCCTTCCAAGTAACTGGAACTATAGGTGTGCACCACCATGCCCAACTAATTTTATTTATTTATTATAGAGATGAGGTCTTGCTAAGTTACCGAAGCTGGTCTTAAACCAAACCCTGGACCCAGCCCCTGGGTTTGTTGACTTTAAAGACAGTGAGTACTCTTAGCTCCTATGCTGTAAATATGAAAACACTGAACAGGAAAGAGATTCTGGAGACGCATACCAATCATTTCATTAGAGCTCACTTGTGACTATTCTAGTAATCACAAATCCATCAAATTATCCTATAGTTTAGCCCATTACGCTTTAAATTTTAATGTGCATAGGAATTACCTGGCTATATCGTTAAAATGCAGTTTTCTGTAAGTCTGGGGTAGAGCCTGAGATTTGCATTTCTAACAAGCTCCCTGGCCATTGATTACCTCATTTTGCATGACAAGGTTCTTCAGAGTTTCCCCAACAAAGATCCATCCTGAGATCTTTTAGAGACTGCTAAAATTAATTTACTTGAGTCTTGAGCATTCCTTCTGGTTGATGAGCCTAGTGGCTTGACCAAGAATGGAAGTGAGTTTGATTTGCAGTCCTTACACTAGGAACTCATTCTGGCTTCTGGTAATTACATCTTTGTTTACTGTTATTGCTAATCTCATCCGGTTGTCTTTCCCACCCCCCCCTTCAAATTGTTATCATTGATCAGTCTGGAGATTATTTAATTTAACTGTTTTGCTTTTTCCCAACTGGGAAAGCACCTGGATGCCTCCAGATTAGTGACATCTTTTCCATTTGTTTATTTCCCAGATTACCAAGTAGCTTTGCAGTTATATCTCCAAGTACCCAGTAAAATAAAATAAACTTTATCTCAGCTTGGAGAAATTGACTTACTTAAAATGATGGGATTTGGAGTCTAAAATTTTGAGTTTGAGTATTGATTCTGCCCTTTGGTAGCTATATAAAATTCAGCCTGTTATCTAAATTCTGAATTTCATTTCCTTATATCTAAAATGAGAATAATAAGACCTACTCCATAGGGTTATTCTGAGAATTAAATGAAAACAAATATTTGAAATTGTGTTGTAGCAGGAAAAATAGACAGATCGTGACACCGAGACTATTATAGAAAGTGGCACTTTATTACGCTGGCCATCCCAGCGGGCCCGAGGGTTTAATGCATCCAAATTGAGCACCCCAGAACAAGAGAAGTGGGGTCTTATATCCTTGTTTAGGTAAGGGAGGGGGTTGTGTTGAGTGATTACATATTTTCTTTGTAACTTTATAAGGTTGTACTCAGCAAAATCAGATTTTTTAAAGAACAAATGGCCGGGCTCGGTGGCTCAGCCTGTAATCCCACACCTTTGGGAGGCTGAGGTGAGTGGATTGCCTGAGCCCACGGGTTCAAGACCCGCCTGGGCAGCGAGACCTCATCTCTACAATAAAAATCAAAAAATCAACCGGGCGTGATAGCGCATGCCTGTAATTCTGGCTACTCAGAAGGCTGAGGCGGAAGGATCGCTGGAGCCCAGCAGGTGAAGCTGCGGTGGCCGGGAGCGGCCACTGCACTCCAGTCTGGGCGACAGAGTGAGACTC